TCCCTACCTTGAAGCAACCAAGAGGAGCTGGAAAGATCTCACTCCCTGAGATCATCATCAGCTCTGTCATCCCTGAAGGGCCATATTTCCTGCAAAAAATGATTCTGTTAGGGTTTGTAGTCACAGCTGAATACAACGTCAGCCTTGGCTAGGAAAAAACTAAGTTAAGTGGCCTCAGATAGGAGCTGAGAAAGAGATGAAGGCTGAGTCACATTGTCCCCTTCTCAAGCTGAAGTTAAGGGAACACTTAAGTTAGATATTGAGGAATTTACAGTGGCATGAATACAGAAGTGTAATATTCAATACATGTACACCAACAGAAAATTATGTTTGCATCTTTAAATAATCTTTCTGTAGTTTTAAAATTATAGTTAATTTAACCACATTATTTCATTAATATTGGATATTTAGGCATCTTTTTCAGGAAGAATTTGAGATACTGTAGAAGTGCTGCTCAAAATACTCTAGTTCATGTGATCTGGCCTTGTGCTACAGTGGCCTCTTTTAGGCTCTCACATATTAATTTTGTTTTAGAAGTGTCCCTGTTGTTTCTTCCACCATCTTTTTGTGTGTTTTTTTCCTGTTATAGAGATTGTAAACTGACCTAAATATAAACAAATAAATTGTGCAGTATGAGATTTCAAAGGATTGCAAAATATCTGCATCCTCAAGATAAATCTCTCAAAATACCAGTAATCTTGTGGAAATTTCATAAGATTTTGATGATTTGGGAGGGGGTTGGATGAGGCCACACAGAGACATCTGGGACCCAGATAGGTTGCCAATGGCTGCCATAATTCTTCATGGTACATTATGTTTGCTTATTGTGGTACTTAAAGTTAATTTCCACTTTTATTAATAGAAAGACCTCTATATTGCTTTTTATTCCTGCTTTCTATCTAGTCTGGAACTCATGAGCCAATCTCATCCCCATAAGTAACTACATCCCATGGTTTAAAAGAGAAAATCTGGCAGAGTGCTGAAGAGGGTGGCAAAGGAGCCACTCTAGCGGCTGGCCAACTTACATAGTATCCTGGTTTAAGAGAGAAGGTAGGAATGTGGCATCCCCATTTTACGATGCCTTTGTAAAACAAAAACCTGTTCACTATTTTATGGAACAATATCCCATCCCTGCCCCAAATGCTGCCTCATCGTGGCAGGGGGGTGTTCCTGGAAGGGATGAGCGAAGAATGTCAGGAGTGTATGCCAAGAATATATACTCCCAACAGGGTCACCCAAGGCATGAAGGTCATCCCTAAAGCAAACAGGCACCTATACTGGGCAGCAGTGATATAGGAAGATGCAGGAGGCAGGTAACCACTTTAGTGACAATGGCAAAGATATCAATTCATACTATGTGGGAGAAGGCAATGGTAAACCACTCCTGTATTTTTACTCAGAAAACCACATGGATAGAAATTATAAAATGATTGACAATATAATGCCGGATGATGGGCCCCTCAGGTCAGATGGCACTCAACATACTACTGAGGAAGAGCTGGAGATCTTTTGGAGTACTATAGTGTTTATAATGTGGCTGGATTAAAGCCTTCAGAACATCTAGTTGCTGATGTTGCCATACAGGAAAAGAAAATCCAAAGCTGCAAAGACAGAATTACAGGAGGAACATGGAACATAAGGAGCATGAACACTGGGAAGCTCAATGAACACAATGAAAGATAAAATGAAACAACTACAGATTGACAGCTTAGGCATCAGCAAATTGAGAAGGACTGGGATTGGACACTTTCAGTCAGAAGATCACATTGTTTATTACTCAGGATATGAAAAACAAAGGAGGAACACCTTTGCTTTATACTGTAGTTAGGAAGGTTATAGGAAGAACAGTACTTGGCTACAATGCAATCAATGACCAAATAATATTGAGTAGACTTTGTGGACAAACCTTCATCATTCAAGTTTATGCTCCAACCTCTGATGCAGAAGAAGAGGAGGGTCATGAGTTTTATTCATTGGTCTATTTATTTATTTATTTGCATTTATTAACCACCCAACTCCAATCATCAAGTTCAACTGGAAATCAACAGAACATGCAAGCAAGATGTGTTCTTGTGATTGGAGACTGGAATGCCAAAATTGGAAACATTAAAGAGGAAAACATAGTTGGATTGTATGGCTTACAAAACCAGTATCACCAGGAGACATCACCAGATGGAGTATATAGAAATCAAATTAACTGTATTATTGCTAAAAGGAGGTGGAGGAGCTCAATTATAGCATCAAAGCCAGGTGCTTATTGTGGAACAGATCACAAACTGCTCATGTGCAACCTCCAAGTTAAACTAAAGAAGAAAGCCAGCCAATTTCCATGGTACGATTTTGAACATATACCCACCATTTTCAAGGAGAGCATCAGGAATTGCTTTGAAATTCTGAATCTTATTGCTAGAGAACCAGAGGAATTATGTAATGAACTTAAAGAAGTTGTTAAGGATGAACGTGAAAAGAGACTGCCAAAAAAGGAAGAAACAGAAGAAAGCAAACTGGACTTTAGAACAAACTATGGAAATTACCAAGAAAACAACGAGAAGCCAAAGCCAAGAAAGACAAAAGTCTCAGAAAGAGTTTCACAGAGCTGTTAGATGAGACAAGAAGGAGTATTACAACATCTGTAAAGACACTGAAGATGGAAACAGATGGAAACAAGGAAAGGCTTTCAAAAGATCTGTGAACTCAGAAGGAGGTTCCAACATTGAATTGGTATGCTAAAGGATACCAATGGACAGATAATAATTGATTCAAAGTAAATCAAATGAAGATGGAAGGAGTATATTGAAATACTGTACAGTAGAGATGTCAATATCCAAGATACTTTAGAAGATACTCCTTACTTACAAAAACCTCTAGTACGAGAAGATGAAGTTAGATCAGCCCTCCGGTCATTACCTCAGGAGCTGATGGAATACCCATAGAAATACGAACAGAACATGGTGAAACAGATTGGCTTGAGGTTGGCAAAGGAGTGTGGCAAGACTGCATATGCTCCAGTTATTTATTCAGCCTACATGCTGAACATATATAGGACAATGAGCCTGGTTTTCAAATTGGAGGAAGAAATGCCAATAACCTGTGCTGTGCTAATGACACTACTCTGATAGCTGAAAATGCAAAGGATTTGCAAGCCCTAGTACTAAAAGTAAAAAAGCACAGTGAAAAAATGGGACTAAAATTAAATAGAAAGAAGATCAAACTAATGACAACAGGTAGAAAAAACTGTCTTAAAACTGACAATGAAAATATCAAAGTGGTGGATATCTTCTGCCTTTTAGGACCAACTATCAACAGTAAAGGAACAAGCAGTCAAGAAATACAATGCAGACTAGCACTTGGTAGAGCAACCATGAAGGCCTTGGAAAATATATTCAAATGCTGTGATGTGAAGTTCAGAATTGTGCAAGCTATGGTATATGGAAGCAAAAGTTGGATTTTGAAGAAGCAGGATAGAAAGAATATTGACACTTTACAACTTTGGTGTTGGAGAAGACTCCTGAGAATACCAGGACAGCCAAGAAAACAAATCAATGAATCAATGAATCAATGAACAAATCAACCCAGAGTTCTCACTCAAGGCACAAATGACCAGGCTCAAATTATTCTACTTCAGACACATAATACAAAGATGTACCTCTCTGGAGAAATCTGTAATGCTGGAGAAAGTGGAGGGAAAAAGAACAGGACAGCCATCAGCAATGTGGATGGACTCAGTGACAGTGGCAATGAATGCATTGTTGGAAGACATGAAAGACCAGATTAGGGACAGATTGTCATTGAGAAAAATCTAGCAACATGGTTGCTAAGAGTAAACAATGTCTTAAGGGCACATAATGTTTTTGGAAAATAACCAAAGAAATTGTCAGAGGAGATCTCACACTGATTTCCTCTGACATTTTCTTTGGTTATTTTCCAAAAAAAATGATTATGTGCCCTTAAGAAAATGTTAGGCATGTGTAAAACTACTTACAGAATCATGGAATATTCTCCAGGGAGAGGACCCTGGAGATCATCTTAGTGATGACCTCCAACAAAGGAGAGTCCACCACCCAAGGCAGCCTATTCCTAACAGTGAGGTAACTCTTACTATAACCCCTCTGCTATGTGACAGCCATTCAAATACATGAGGACAGCAGTCCTGACTCTTGGAGACCTGTCCTGTTCTGAAGATTCCAAGGCATAGGTTTTTTTGCAAAGTTAGCCAATGAAAAGCATGCACTAACAGGCAGAAACTGAAGTACCTTCAGATTAGACACTTCTTTTCAGGGCAATTAATCTTTATACCCACTGGAACAAAAAATAATTGCTGGTAACCATTTGATAGTGGCAGTACATTCCCCAAACTCCAGCAAGTAAGCTGAAGAACTCAAGCAAATATAAACACATCTGTCTGTGCTGCAAGACCAGAGATCTCAAGGAGTCCTTCTCTGGAGGCCATGCATGGCTTTCTCACGTCTGACTGTTTAAAAGGACCCACTCTTAGCAAAATAAAATTTAGTCCCAGGTAAGAGTGTCTGGCGTTACAGTCAGGAACAACTCAGGAAGGAAATAAAGGCATCGTTTCAGTCTTCCCACTGATGCATGATTGAACTGGACAGAGGGGAAAATGCAGTATTAGAGAGATCAAGGCATTTATGAGATATTATTTCAAAACAA